CGCCGCCGGGGCTGGCGTCTACGCCGGCTGGCACCGGGTCCACGCCCAGACCTAGGAGAGGCGGGACGGCGGTCAGGAGATCCGGGCTAAGAGCCCCCTCCCGAGACCAGCTGCGGACCAGCGGCGCCTGGCCCCACGTCTGCCTTCAAAGTCTCGAGGCCAGATCCGCCCCCCGCGTTGTCCTTACTTTGGGGGCCCGCCCCCGGCCTCGGCTCCACCCTAGTCTTGCTTGCGGTCTGACCTGTCCCCACATCACTCCAGCCAGGAGCTCCGCCTCCTCGGCATATGGTCACGCCCCTAGCTCAGACTCCGCCCCTCGCCCGAGCTCTGGGCGCGCCTCTGTCTTGCTCAGCTTCACCACGCGCTTTAATTTCAAGTCCCAGAATTTGGGCTCCTCCAGCCTTCCCAGCCCCGCTACCTGGCCTCAGGCTGGTGGCTCAAGCCGTCCACCCTTCAAACTCAACCTCAACCTGGGCCCGCGTCTTCTTGCGTATGGCCATGGCCTGCTCTTAGTCTCGGGGTGGTGTGGTTGGCCTTTTCCATCACACACCATCCACCCTCAGCAACCCACCCCCTCCCCACCCCAGGTCACTCCTTTCCCAAAACTAGACGCTGGGCCCTTTCTCTCCGCGTTCACCTCCCGGCCCTGCCCCCGGCCCCGCCCCGCCCGCTGTACCGGTCTTAAGCACCAGCAGGTGCAGCGCGTCGTCCTGCAGGTAGGAGGCGGCGGCGATCTCGTGCGTGGGGATACGCAGGATTAGCTCCTCGTTGTCGCGCCAGGTGAGCAGCAGGCAGCGGGCCGACAGGCTCAGGATACTGTCCTGCTCCGCTGTGGTCTTCAGCGGCAGCTCCTTCAACTGCTGCAGGGGGTTCGGATCTCTTGGGTCCCCGAGGGGCTCGGGTGGGAGAGGAAGAAGAGGACAAGACCCAGCCCTAACCCTCCCCAGGGCCTCACCCTGGCCGTGTCCAGCAGCTGCAGGAGCTCGTCGCGGCTGGAGGGGTTCAGTGAGGAGGTAACCCAGGTGAGGTGGCCCAGGAACTGGACAGGAAATGGGAGGTAGGGGTGGGAGAAGGGCACAGAGAGGTCACCTTGAAGCCTTGGATAACCCAGAACTCCTCACTGACCCAGTGAATATAGACTGAAGTAGAAATACCTGAATTGATCATAACCTGATGATAGCTATTAAGGTGGTCACAGAAGCCAGACCCCCAAAAATGATGCCCCAAATCAATATAATAATTCTTCATTCATTCTTAGTTAAAACTTAATGTCATCCCGAACTTTAATGTTATTCAATGTAAGAAATTAACTTTATTTTTAGTTTTGTTCTTCTAGGTGAATTCCACCAATCAAACCTTTTTCTTCTTTTATTCTCTATGAAATTTCAGTCCCCAATATTTAAGTGGATTTATTAGTTAGCTTTAACCCTCCATATATGGTAAAATACAAGACCCCAGTTAAATTTGAATTCCACATAAACAGTGAATTCTTTAAAAAAATTTTTTTAAAGTATTTTTAGTCCCATGCAGTATTTAGGACATATTAATACTAAACAAGTACTCGTTGCTTTTCTGAAATTCACACTTAACTGGGCAGCCTGTTTTTGCCAAATCTAACACTCCTACCCCCATATCAATCTTCCTTGGGTAATGAGGATTCTCCATTGCTCCTTCATGGTGCTCATGAAACAGTAGTAAAACCCTTGAGGGACCTTAGTCCCCTCTGGCTTGCTGAACTGGGTTCCTATAACAAGTTCATCCACTATCTGAGTAGCAACAACATTACTGCGGTAAAACCTCACAGGAAGGTATGGCTTTTCCCATCTGCTCTCTCCTGTGAGTAGGTTTTGAGCCCTGTGTTGAAATGGAAACACTGAGGCTGAGTGGGTGGAGGTCATTTGCTGAGGGTCCACAGCATAAGGCAGGAGCTAGGCTGTCATGAACCCAGGTCTCTTTGCTCTGAGCCTCCCCTGTGTGAGACCGGGCTGGTCAGGGCTTGGTGTGAGAGAGAGGTACAGTCTCTCCTGATGGGATCCAGAACACACTACCCCCAAATATGGCACATTGGCATATTGAATATCTTAAGCTTGAAGGAGTTGAAGAAAATGGTAGAAGCAGGAAGGTTACTCTGACCTTCCTCCACCCCTCTTCCCTGAAAGCAGGAGAAAAATCTCCCACCTGAAAAGTACCCTCCCTGTACCTGGAGGGAGACCTCCTCTCACCAGACACAGGGAATTTAGGGCTGAGAAGGCTGTAAAAACAAACCTTGTTATTTCTTCACCTTTTACTCCCCTAGCCCAAACCCTTCTGCCTTGTCAGCTCTTCATAAATTTAGTGTCAAAAAGATGTAAAAGCTTCCTGCTCTGGTCACTTCTTTGGGTCTTCATTCCCTTGCGAAAGCTCTCATGGACATGTAACCATTTAATAAAATGTGCACACTTTTCTCCTGTTCATCTGTGTTTGTTGGCCTCATTTTCAGACCCAGCCAGGGACCCTAAGAGAGTTAAGGAAAACCTTACCCCTCCTTTACTCCTCACCCCAAGATTCTGCCCACCCTTCTCCTCACCCTACACATACCTTGACCTCTTTCTCCAGATAGTCACACAGCAGAATCTGAGGGTCGATGAGGTAGTCAGGGGGGTAAAGGGGCATCGAGTGCAGGGGCCGGCGACTCACACTGGTCCGAAAGGCAGCCCGGCGCCCAGCCTTGGGGAACACCAGCCTCCGGATGGGGGATACAAAGCCCTGGGGGGCGGGAGGCAGGGAGATGTGGGGGGGAACAACAGTAACAACAGCAACTGGCTTTATTGAGCACTTCCGCATTCGGCATTTTACTTACTTACCTAGTACCTAATTTAATTCTCATAGACTCTGCAGAAGGGGTACCTCTGTGATCCCCATTTTACAGATGGAGAAACTAAGCCTCAGAGAGATTCCCTCTCTCGGTGTGTCTCTCTCTGTCAAATAATTAAAATCTTTAAAAATAAAATAAAATAAACACCCAGGTGAGGGCATAGGGCGTGCTAAGGCCCAGGCCCAGGCCCAGACTGAAGGACTGGGGCAAGTAAGAAAAATATTAAGAGTCAATGTGGCTCAGTGGTGAGTGCACAGGTATTTGTCGTGCTATTCTCTGTGCTTTCCCCCAAATTAGAAATGGCCAGTAAGTACGTTTAAGGAGAATCCAGCAGACACCTGCACAAAAAATGGCCTACAGCAAGATTCAAGAAGCCAGTTCTAGACTCCAATGCAGCCCAACAGAATCTAAATCTCGCAGGAAAGTGTGAGCACCATTTTAGAGCAGTTCTCAGTGAGTATGGCTCCTGGGTCAGCAGTGGCAGCACTGAGGAACTTAAGAGAAATGCATATTCTCCCATTCCATCCTAGATCTACTGGATCAGAGCTTGGGGGTGAAACCCAATGATCTATGTTTTAACAAGCACTCCAGGTGATTCTGATACAGGCCCAGCTCATATTTTAAAACCAGTATCTTGGAGCCGAGATGAAGTATCTGGAAGCTCTGAGAAATGAGAACAAATGATCTGGGAAAGGGTATTCCAGGCAGATGTTCCAGGCACATATTTTGCACGTGCAAACCCCTGGGGCTGGCTGAGGATGAGCCTGGGGAAGATGCACGTGGTCTATTGCAGCTGAATGATGAGATGAATGAGCCATAGAGGGCCTGAATGCCAGCTATGGAGCTGGGACTTGATTCTGTGTATGTGAGTGTGTGTGTGTGTGTGTGTGTGTGTGTGTGTGTGTGTATGGAGTGGAGAGCTAAATGTTTTGTCTGTGGCCTTTAATGATCCAGCCCTGCCCACCTCTCCAGCCTCATTTTATGCACCCCCGCACCGCCCCACCCCGCCCCTTGCTCCTGCCCTCCGGCTACAGGGCCATCTTTCCAGTCCTCCCTACTTGCTCTGTTCCTTCCCACTGCAGAGCTTTTGCACATGCTGTTCCTCTGCCTGAAATGCTCTTCCCTACTCCCTTTTCTTCCACCCATCAGACCTCAGCTCAAACTGACCAGTCTAGGGTTAGGTCCCCTAATATTCTATATCCCAGCACTGTGTATGGAGTCTCTTACGCAATTTTATATTCATTGCTTTTTTTAAAAAGAATTAAGAGTTGCTTTCCCCACTAGAATGTGAGCTCCAGGGAGGGAGCGGAGACCTTGTCTGACTTTGCTCACCACTATATCATCACTAGTACCAGGCACCATGCTTGGCACATACGAAGGGTTCAGTAAATATCTAGAGAAGGGATAAACCCAGAGAGAAGCAGCACTATGTCTTGACTCTCTTCTGAGCCCTCATGATTCACATGGGAGCCCTTTAGACCAGCCTGACCTCAGTTTCTTGGAGGAAGAGAGCTGGGTGGCGGTGGGAGTTGGAATCTGAGGGACCCCCTGAATAGCAAAGACAACCAGGTGAGGTGCCCAAGGAACCAGACTAGAAAACTGACGGTAAGGAGGGGTGAGGATCTATGGGGTGAGGGGGATGACCCTCAGGCTGAGGCCTTGGGAGAAGAGCTGTTCTGGCATAAAGATGGGGAGGGGGCAGGCTAGGCTGGAACCCAGCAGGGGAACAGGTAGGTGTCTCAACCTGGATAGGCAGCCTTATAGCACAGAATTGCCCTGGCTGAGCTCCTTCTGTCGGGGGAGGTAAGGGGCAGGGGAATGTGTCTATTCTGTGTTTGTCTCTCGGTGTGAGGAGCCCCCAGGAAAGCCATGGAAGCAGGTTGGTAGTATCTCCCAAAACAATCTGGCTGGCTGGGTTTCCCCGGAAGGTGCCTGTCTGTCTGTCTATTCATTCCAGGGATGGCAGACGCCACTTGTGAGTGGGGAGACAGGTTAGGGAGCTTGAGTCCAAATGTCTGACTGCCCAAGGGTGGGAAGGACAGTCTTTTCTGATGAGAAGAAAGACTCTACGCATGCCACTCACTGCCCCTCACCCCCACCCCAGGCCTCCCACTTTACCAGCTCCATGGACATTTCTTTCCCCCGCATCCCTCCCAACTTCCCACCTACCTTTTTCCCTTTCTTGACTTCATATTCCATGGTGAAGCGTCTCCTCTACTCTTGCCACCCTCCTGACCATCTCCTCCACCCTCTCCCCCCTACGCAGTTCCTTTGTTCTTTTTCCTGCCTGGTCGGAAACTCCACCAGCCCCGGAGTTCCTGCCCCTCCCGTCTGATAGTGAGCAGAGGTGGGGGGCCGGAGGCGAGTGGAGGATGCAGGCTTGGGCCCCTCCAGCTGAAGAGTGGAAGGAAGCCCAGCCAGAACAACCTACCCGGGGAGAAGGCCTCAAGCCTCCCTCCAGAAGGCTTGCTGTTGAGGGGGCTTGGGAACCGAGTAAGGCTGGGGAAGGGCCCCCCAGTTTGGAGTCTGAGAATCCCGAATTCCAACCGTACTTCTGCCGCTGACCTTGTTGTGTGACCTTGGCAAGACAAGTCATTCGCTCTTGTACAGCCTCAGTTGCCCCCTCCTCTCTATGAAGTAGGAATAAACATCGCCTCCCTCTCTGGCTGCTGTGGTGAGAAATAAATACAAGAGTGGATAGGAAAATGCTTCCTAAACTATAGAATATTGTGTCCAAGCAAGTTATGATTTTAAAAATTAATCATTACCATTAAGGGAGGCAGTATTCATAGGGTTCGAGGATAGGTTGCCTGAGTTTGAATCCTGATTTTATCACTTACTAGGGTGATGACCTTGGGCAAGTCCCTTACCCACTTGTTTCCCCATCTATAAAATGGGCATAATAGCAGTCTGACCTCATGGTGACCTTGTAAGGATTAAATGCACTTAGAAGAGCTCCTGACACATATGAAATGCTCAATAAATGTTAACTATTTACCTATCTATGTGTCTGTGTGTCCTGGGCTGTTTTACCATCTCTTGGGAGAATATTAGTGAGGCGAGTTTCCCTTTGTGATTCTGTGCTGAGCACTTTACATATTTCATCTCTCTCGTTCCTTACAATATTGGGGTATCATTATACCTATTATACAGATCAAAAAATCAGGCTCAACTGCAGAGACTGACCCAAAAAAGTCATCAAGTTTATAAGAGGAGGACCTGGGATTTCTGGCCAGTCTGGATCTGAAGCCTAGTTCCTTACCTCTAGGGCCAGCGTGCTCAGCATATCCCACCCAGGACAGTTGGGAAGGTTCCGAATGACCCATCCACACCTTGCCATGACACCTGGGTTCTGGAAGCCCTAGTTCTGGAACTGATTTGCTATATGATCTAGGGCAGTTTGCTTATTTTAACATTTCTGGGCCTCAGCTTCCTCATCTTTCCAATGGGAACAATGATCCCAAATGCCCTGCCCTGTAGTCAGCGGTGTGGTGAGAAAGACATCGGACTATGGATGAGAAAGCAGCTGGAAATTGTGAAGTGCAGGAGCCAATGCACTGGATTGTTTTGAAAGTTTCTTCTGAAAGCACAGGTGTGCAGAAAGAAAGAGAAAGAAAGAAAGAAAGAAAGAAAGAAAGGAAGGAAGGAAGGAAGAAAGAAAGAAAGAAAGAAAGAAAGAAAGAAAGAAAGAAAGAAAGAAAGAAAGAAAGAAAGAAAGAAAGAGAAAGCAGGTACAAGTGTTCCAGGTCAGTGCCCATTGGAGTGAAAGAGAGCTCCCCACTGCCTCTGGGTGTGGGGGCCTCTGGAGCCTCCAACCACACGCCTTCCCCCCTTCCCCCCTCCGGGGGAGGGGAAATGGTCCAGGCTGCTTAGTGCTAGCTTACAGAGCCCCTCCCTGCTGCTCCCCTGTATCGGGGTGGCTGTCGCAGCAGCAGGAAGTGAGATCTCCACCAGCATGCCAAGCCAACAGGAAGAGGCCAGGATGTGCAACCTAATCCCTGACTGCTCCAGACACCAAAACTCCCACTTAACTCCTTGAGCAAGTGCCAAGTTCCTCAGTTTCCCTATCTGTAAAAGGAGGACTTCTGTTATTCCTGAACTAACTCCAAGTATCACTGAACTCCTGGGAATATCAAATAGGACAAGAAGCATTCGGAATGCTGCTAGAAATAGCAAACTCTCTTTGCATAACCTGCAGTGCCCACCCCAGGGCCACGAACAGGTCAAGTGCTTAGTAAATGTCAGTGGAAGTAGGTGGAGACAGGTGGACATAGGTTCAAATGTGTATGACCTTGAACAGGTGATTTCTCAGAGCCCCAGAGTCTTATGTGTCAAAAGCAAGATAATGATGATGCTTGCCTCATAAGGCTGCTGCAGGGATTAAATGGGAATAGAAGCATATACGATGGTAACATGATGATTAAAATTGGCTTGTGAGGATAAAGAAGAAGTTGTATATATGTATGTATATACAAATTCATACACAACACACACACACACACACACACAATGGAATATTACTCAGCCATAAAAATGAACAAAAACTTGCCATTTGCAACTATGTGGGTGGAACTAGAGGTATTATGCTAAGTGAAATAAGTCAATCAGAGAAAGACAAATACCATATGATTCCACTCATATGTGGAATTTAAGAAACAAATGAGATGAACATAGGGGAAAGAAAAAAAGGAGGGAGGAAAACCATAAGAGACTCTTTTTTTAAAAGATTTATTTATTTATTTGAGAGAGAGAGCGCGCTCACACTCATGCACGTGTTGGGGGAGGGGTACAGGGGGAGGGAGAGAATCCCAAGCAGACTCCCCACTGAGTGCAGAGCCAGACGAGGGGCTCAATCCCACAACCCACAACTGTGAGATCATGACCTGAGCTGAAATCAGAGTCAGATGCTTAACTGACTGAGCCAGCCAGGCACCCCAAGAGACTCTTAACTATAGAGAAAAAACTGAGGGTTGCTGGAGAGAAAGTGGGGGGGATGGGCTAAATAGGTGATGGGTATTAAGGAGGGCACTTGTGATGAGCACTGGGTATTATATGTAAGTGATGAATCACTAAATTCTACTCCTGAAACTAATATTACATTATATGTTAACTAACTAGAATTTAAATAAAAACTTGAAACATTAAAAAAAAATTAGGGGGGGTGCCTGGGTGGCTCAGTCGTTAAGTGTCTGCCTTTGGCTCAGGTCATGATCCCAGGGTTCTGGGATCGAGCCC